AAGAAGCAAGTGAGATAATCAAAGATTGGAATGGCGTTGACCAAGTCCTTCTCAGAAACCCACATGGTGCTTCTGCCAAGGTCTTCACTATTTTCTCCAACCTTCTTCTCTGAATAATTCGAGCTTTTTTTTAAAACCAATTTGGGTTTTTGATTTTTTGGTTTTCCAGATTAGTTTACATGGAGGACAAGTGATTTCATGGAGGTATGCAGACACTACAAATACATTGTGAAGAAGCTGAAAATCCAAAATCTGATTTTTAAATTTGGTTGTAAATTTGCTAGGCTATATTCAAACCTCCTAAATCAATGCGTGGAGGGATTCAGATTTGTTATCCTCAGGTATAATTTACTAGTAGAGCTCACTGATATCTTTTCTTGATCACTTTGTAATTGAATTTTGTGTGTGTGTGTTTGTGAAGTTTGGTGATTTTACGATTTTGGGATTATCGGGTTTAATGGGTCTAATAATCGGCTTGGTTTCTGGGTAAATCCGGTTTAATTTCGATGTTAAGCGGTTAATCGGGTTCGGCACAGTAAACCGAAGATAAACCACGAAATTTGAAACTATGGAGACTGAAGTCTCGAACTTTCAATTTAGGGGGAAACTGGAGTTTAACTTTCGTTTTGTGTGGACTGGAGACGAGACCCGAAATCTGTGTTGTTATGGTACTATATGAAACTTACTGGGGGGACACAGGTCGTTCACCCATTTAGCTTAGATATCTTTTATTTTTTTGGTAAATTACTTACTCAGATTTCTTTTTTTTTTTTTTTTTTTTTTTTTTGACACCACTCAAATTTCTTATAAATGCATATTAATCTTCTGGTTTCACTGAAGCTTTTTTCGTTTTGGTTTTAATGCAATCGATTTAGTATGGTACGGTGGATTTGGTAGACTTATCCATTTTTGAAGAAACAATTGAGACGATACAGCTATTCCTCTCACACCAAAATGAATCTTTTTTTTTTTTATCACTCTCTCTCTCCCTCTGTTTTAAAATGACTCTTTTGGTTTTGGACTCTCTTCGTTTTTCGTATTAGAGTGTTGGTATCATCTAATACTATGGAGTTGGTTCCCCGTATTGCATGACTTTGGTTACAAAAGCCTCATACATTTCAAGGTTTAGTGTTTTCTAAGGCCACTAATCACTCGGATTTGTGTCAGGTGAAATGGATAGTTACTGAAGATTGAAAAACTTGGTTAGTATACTCCGTTGAGTCGACAAGCATCAGTATACTCATTGACAGTAGATTAGTTTCAGACCTGCTTAGTGCTTAGGAGAATATATCTAGAGCTGAAGAAAAACAAGAGGGTTTGCAGAGGCAAGGCTCGGATACTTAGCCAAAAAACTGTTGATGGAGTTTTTTACCTATCTGTTCATGTCTGTTCCATGATCTTAGACCATAGACTGAGAGAAGTTTCAACTCCTTTATTTGAACTATCTATACATCCCAAACAGAACAACATCTTCATGTCAGTAACAAAAAGCAATCAAAGCACTTTATTAAAAGCTTTAAAAATCTATACTTTCATATAACAGTTGACTTAGAGTTATCATTGGTGCAAAGAAGGTTTTTGGTCGTTCCATAACGGCTGCAGCATATAGTTTTTGATCGTTCCATAACGTTGGTGACAGCCTGAAGAAAGAAAGATATACATGTATAATGTATTACGCGAAAATTCCTTTTTTCAAGCTCTTCTTAGTAATTCTGAATAAGAGTAGAGTTCAGGTTTAATCACCTGATGGGCGGCTTGATGATACTCTGCTCACCGTAACTTCTAGGATCGAAGAATGATGATCGTCCGACGAAAAACCTAACTGTAATTAGATGAAAGTTTTTAATCTTAATACTTGAAAGAGTTGTTAGTTTGTTACGGACTATATAAAAAAAATCGATGTGAATGTCAGTTTTGTGTAATACTCATCGAACAAACAAAAAGTCCTGAAAGATTTCCCACATTTGTTCATGTGATGAAATTACAGTACACTGTTAAAATTCAAATTGTTTTTCATTTTATCACAGATGAGTTAAATAGTTGAAATGATCAATAATAGTGATCGAGGATTAAAGAAGATAAAGAAAAACAGAAGTTGCAGATACACAGCACCTCTTATGTGGCCCACTGAAGTAAAGTAATATTTCAATCCTCAAAGAAGAGATTAACATTGTACAAAATCTATCAACATTTATATTAGATTACCTTTTTAGTAAATGTCTCCATTACTTCACCACAGACTTCAGTTTCATCAAGGGTGTTTCAGACATCACTTTTTGAAGATTCATCAAGGAACCTCCGAGAGTTGGAATACCCCACATTCTTTTATCTTCCAATTCGTACTGTCGATCTTGAACTCAAAGACAAGCTCGCTGGAAGTCACATCTGCTTTGACTTCAAATACGTACATATGCTCTTCTAAAGGTGGATATAAATAATGCCTACTTTTTTTACAACTAACATAGCAGCCATTTTCATCGTCACCTTTACGAACCAGCAAAATGCAAGCCTTAAACCGCATGGATGTAGGAAGAGGCTTCTCGTTCAGCTTGATTGTCAAGGAACCTCCAGTAGCAGATTGGTGAGTGAAGTATGCAGGCACTTCTCTGCCGGGTAAGATCGCATAATTACTAGTTGGTGTCTGGATGATGAGGTCTCTGGCTTCTTGATTCAGTTTGAAGCACTTAGCAGAGTTGACCCGAATCTCTGGATCGTGAAAGGAGCAATCTAGTTTCTCCAGGGACTCACAATCTTCTGCATCTATGTAAGTGATGGAATCTGGAATCTGTGGGAGTGATACCAGCTTTTTGCATCCCTTGAGAATGAGTTCTCTTAAATGAGAGAATTTCTTGACCCATGGGGGAAGCTCTTGTATCTCTGTATTGGTCACGTACAGCCTTGTGATGATGTCAAAAGCATGAGGAAAGTTCATGAGATTTTCACTGTATGACATATGCAAGTAAGTGAGACGAGACCAAGATTTGATTGATGAAGGGACTTCTTCTATTGTGGTTCCTTTGAGATAGAGAGTTTCAACGTTTGTGGAGATCTCAGGAAACCTTTTCAACAGCAAGCAATCAGTGAGATCAAGTAAGCAAAGAGATTCCAATTTGATGTTGGCTGGAAGATCTTCTAGTTTAGAGCATCCTCGTAAGGTCAAAGTTTGCAACTTCTGAAGGTTTCCAATAGAAAAGGGGAGCTTTACCAGATTTGAGCAATGTTGAAGGTTTAATTTCCTGAGAGATCCCAATTTGATGTTGGCCGGAAGAACCTCTAGCTTAGAGCATCCTCGTAAGTTCAAAGTCTGCAACTTCTGAAGGTTCCAAGTCGAGAAAGGGGAGCTGGACCAGATTTGAGCATTGGCGAAGGTTTAAATCCTCAAGGTTGGTGGCATTTCCAATCGAGAAAGGGAGCTCCACTAGACATGATAAACTGCTAAGATTCAATACTTTTAGATTGATGAGATTCCCAATAGAAAAAGGGAGCTCCACCAGACTTGAGCATCCACCGAGATCTAATAAGTCGAGAGGAGTGGCATTCCCAATAGAGGAAGGGAGCTCCACTAGACATGATAAACTGCTAAGATCCAATTCTTTTAGATTGATGAGATTCCCAATAGAGGAAGGGAGCTCCACCATACATGATAAACTGCTAAGATCCAATTCTTTTAGATTGATGAGATTCCCAATAGAGGAAGGGAGCTCCACCAGACTTGAGCATTGGTCAAGGTTTAATTTCCTTAGGTTGGTGGCATTTCCAATCGAGAAAGGGAGCTCCACTAGACATGATAAACTGCTAAGATCCAATTCTTTTAGATTGATGAGATTCCCAATAGAAAAAGAGAGCTCCACCAGACTTGAGCATCCACCAAGATATAACTTTCGGAGATTTTTGGTATACCCAATAGTGGAGGGGGGCTTCACCAGGCTGGAGCAACCACTCAGATTCAATTTTTGAAGATTGGTGGCAGTTGAGAGGTCAGGAAGCTCCTTTAAGAGGAGAGACGAACGCAAATCCATCCGCTTGAGATTTGGAAGCGGCTATACATACAAATAATAAGAACATGTATATACACTTAATTAGAAAACAGACTTCCATGCTATTAGTAATTAATTAAAAAAAAATTGTACAAAAGATAAATTATTAATTTGAAATTAATAAAATATCTAAAAGAAATAAATCAAAATTACTTACTTTAATTCCTTCCCACAACTTCTCAAGTTTGCTGCAACGCATGTCTAGTTCAACAAGGAAGTCCGTGTTGAAAATAGGAGGCAAACATGTCATCGGAAAATAAGTCCAGTGTAGTAATCGAAGTTTACGAGATATATACTCTAAACCGTGCGGTAGATGTAATGTATTGTTATTCCCTTCGAATCTTAAGAATTGGAGATTAGACATTCCTTGAAAGGCTCTCTCACTTATATGTAACTTTTCCTTGATCCTATCCTCACCAAAGTTGTAATTTATACCTATAACACTTCTACTGCCCTGAAAAACAGAACATAAATAATATGAAATGGTCACTTATTAAATCAACACGATTTGTGGAGAGAAATGTCAAAACTTACATTCGCATCAAGATTGAGTACTTCACAAATTTCTCGTGCATCAACCAAAAATAGTCGTTGTCCAGGCTCACGAAGAGACTGTTTACGGACAATGTCTATACCTAGTTTGACTAGCAGATCATGCATGTTTATATATCCCCTATTCAAAGATATGAGAGATTTCTCAGCTAAGATATTAAGCCGATGACTCACATCCAAGAACGTCTCTGCAAGATAATCTTCCACTTTCTCAATCTTTTCATGATTGAAGAAGCATGCTTGATGGAAAATCAATCTTGTAAATATGGTTAATCCCATGTGACCTGAAAAGCTTTCGATCTTGCGTTGTAATAATAATCCGACTCCCAGGACCAAACCACCAAGTTTCTTTCACCATGGCATCTAGTTGCATTGACTTGTCCACACCATCAAGAGCCAAAGGAAGTTCACCAGCAAGTTGTGTAACTTCCCAAGCAAGTTCTTCAAAACCATGTGTAGGGGAGTTTTGACCAAAAGCATATTTGCACAAGATTTGAAGGGCCTCTTCAGTTGATGGAAAATCAACCTTGTAAATATGGTTAATCCCATGTGCCCTGAAAAGCTTTCGATCTTGTGTTGTAATAATAATCCGACTCCCAGGACCAAACCACCAAGTTTCTTTTGCCATGGCATCTAGTTGCATTGACTGGTCCACACCATCAAGAACAACAAGAACTTTCTTGTCTTTTAGCCTATCCTTGAACAACACCTAAATGAGAAATCTTCATATCACTCTGGTTGGTTATTTGAGACATAAACTGCTGTTGTAACTGCAACTTGGCACTATAGTCATCGGAACATGGTCTTGTATATTTTGCTTCGATAGATTCCATAAAGACACTCAGTTGAAAACTGCCGGAGAGTTTGTTGTATATAACTCTGGCGATGGTCGTCTTCCCAATCCCAGAAGGACCCCAAATCCCAATCAGCCTCACTTCATCTGAGTCTAAACATAATAACGGTTCCATCTTCTCTAAATGTTCTCTCATTCCAACCAACCCATCGAAATCACTTGATGATGCAGAATTATTCAACATGTTCGAAATATCAGTAGCGATTTTTTTAATCATGGCCGCTTCATTATCCCTAACAACAAAGAAGATCACTACATCCATTAAACAATTATGGAGAAGTCACACACATTTAAAAAAACTATGAGTTTCTGTGATTTGAAGAAGCTATTAATATATACAGTTAGATGTTTGTTAGGAAGACAACGAACCAGTTGGTCGAATGGTAACCAGCGATTGTGGCGACATTTGCCAAAGCTTGTCTCCATCTCCCAACGTGCTCTTTTGTTTTACCGGCACATGTTTTTTTGAAGACTTTTCCAAAATCTCCGGTCAGCTTCTTTACATCAGATGGATCCACTTTATAGAAAACAGCCAAAACTGTTTGACCCAATTCTTCCCTGCACTTCATAATCTCCGCCAATTCGTCAAGACACCAGCTCGAAGAAGCGTAGTTTCTTGACAGCAAGATAATTGCGATCTTGGATTCTCTAATTGCTCGAATGAGTTCAGGACCGATGGATTGTCCTCTCTTGATCTCATTATCAATGAACGGTGTGATTCCCATTCTTTGAAACTCCATCTGAATGTGACTAAGAAAGTCTCTACGGACATCTTCCCCTCGGAAACTTGGAAACACATGGTGTGTCCAGATGCGATCCAAAGACGATTGAAGAGATGAAGGAGACAGAGAAGATGGAGATAATGAAGTAGAAGAAGAAGTATTATTTTCTTTGTCATCTTCTTGATGGCATCTGAGTTTTCTAAGAAGCGTGAAGAAGCTAATTGCAGCAGCAACAGTGGTAAGGATAAAAGAAGAAGAAGAATCCATTAGTTAGTATTATTGGAGAGAGGATTAATAATATCAAAGAGCTTTAAAGAGAGCTATGTAGACGTGTGATTGGAGGAACCCAAGTTACAAACCAGAATATGATGGTTGACCCCACATAGCTCGTTTTTTTCCATACTAATTCGTGGCTATTCCCTCACAATGATGGGTCCTAGACTAACAACTAGCAAGGGAGGAGGAAGCTTCCTTCAATGAAACTTCTTTACAAAAATAAAAATAAAAAAATCTAAAAGTATACAAATTAGACATGATTTTTATTGGAGAGAAGATTAATATCAAAGAGCTTTAAAGAGAACTATGTGGATGAAGAGAGAAGAGATGGAATCTTTGTTATTCTTTAGAATAATGAGATATTGAGATGCATTAACAGAAGAAAAGTTGAAGAAAATCTTAAATTTTTATAATTTTATATCTTCAAGAAAAGTCATGTAAATATTAAACAAAGAAACATGTTTGAAACTATACTAGCAAAAAACAGAGATGTATCTACCTAATTGGTCCTACTACACTAGCAACTAGCAAGACAGGAAGCTTCGTCCAAAGAAAAAAGAACAGGATCAAGTTTTCAATACAAACATGGTAACTAACTTCTCCAACATTTATATCCAAAGACATGATTTTTGGAACAAGTCATGAAAATAGTTTGTTGAAATTCTGAATCTAAGAAGCAAATTAGCAACTTAAATCCTAATCTATGATGCAATTCAGAAACGGGAAACACAAGGAAGCAGTGACTAAAATCAATGTCTCTATCAAAAATCTAAAATTTATATAAAAGATGTGAAAATACTTACATCGAGTTTTGATATAGAGATGCCAATTCTCCAACATTTATAATAGTTGTGTCTTTTATAATAGTTGTATCTATTTAAATGTTTTTGTCTTCTAAACTCTATATATTTATCCATTTTCCTAGATAATTTACCTAACTCTTGTTGTCTAACATTAATTAGATAAGGACAACTTATTTTGTTAAGAGATGATTTTTTTTTTTATAGAAATTTTGTTAAGAGATGATTGACGGCCAAGATTGAAGTTCATCTCAATAAATATTTTCTACAGTTGTGTATTTTATCGTAACATTCCCTATTATATAGTTTAAAAAGTTTTTACTATTTTAAAATACCTCTTATGATTGTGATTTTTTAGAAATTTGCATCTATTCATTCAAACTTGTATCTTTTCACCATGTTGTTTTCATGTTCATTTCATCAAAACTTCATGTTCTAATAATTTTGTCTTTTATAAATATAGGTGTATTTATTTAAACGGACATGTCTTTCTAACTCTCTATATATATTTTTCCTCTTCTTAGATAACTCCTAAAATTTTATTATTTGACACTGAGTTTTCATTTTATGATGAATCTAAACAATTTAACCTTCAATACGGATGTTATTATATACTCTCCAGACTATTTCTTAATTATACAGACTATGTATACATTACAAAGAACGTTGACCCATTGACTCAGAATATGTTTTTGTTTTTGGTTAAATGGAGGATTAATTTCTCCATTGACGTTGACCCCATTGGTTGAAATTACTAGTAAAAACAGAGCTCATTTATTTCCATACTAATTCCTGGCTATTCCCTCACAATGATGGGTCCTACACTAACAACTAGCAAGGGAGGAGGAAGCTTCCTTCAATGAAACTTCTTTACAAAAATAAAAATAAAAAAATCTAAAAGTCATGAAATTCGAATCAACGAAGCAAACAAATTAGACAGGATTTTTTTAACAAGTCATTAAATTCGAATCAACGAAGCAAACAAGTCACGGAGATTTCAAGGAAAGTAGTGACCAAAATCAAAATCTAAAATTTATACAAAAGTTGTGAAAATAATTACATTGGTGACAGGTGAGCTTGAGAAGCTGGAAATCTCAAAACAAAATCAGCCCTTTTTCTCCAATTTGCATCCGGAAGCTATTGAAAATTTCATTTTTGTTAATCCGTTCATGTTTTGAAAGAAATTGTTTGTTTTTTTTTTTCTTATGATTCCGTTCAAGTAATGTTGAAAGCTATTCGCATAAACAAGGAAAACATTTGTATAAGGTAGACCAAATACCGGATGATTAGCAAGTAGTTTTTTTTTTTTTCGTCGAAATTAATTTATATTGAACTTTGATAATCAGTACAGAGTTTTTGTTCCAACCATGGTGGTGGGTTCATAGTAGCTGAATAAAAATTACAAGTATTACATCCAAATCTGGCAAGCACATGAGCTGCTTCATTACATGACCTTGTGATAAAAGTAAATTGAATCTCCTTGAACATTGATGACCAATAGTTGACGTCTTTGAGGAAGTTCATAACCGAGCTGGTTTTTGTTCTACCCGTTAAGTTATTAATAAGGACTTCACAATCACCCTCGAAAATAACTCTTGAATATCCGC